TTTTCTTCAACAAATGGTACATGCTGTGGGCATGGTATATGCTTACACACTTCGGGAAAATTTGGATGGGTTATTCCATTCAGTATTGAATCTCTTATTTCTACATTAAACAATTGACCCGCACTCTGCTGGGCTTCGGTGAATTTCTTTTTTGAAGGTAATTCTGCCAGAAATTCATTGTAGTCATAAGGTCGACAATTGTTTGATTCTAGTAGGTTTTCAAAATAGTTGCATGTTCCTACAGTTTTTAATCCATCCTTAAGTTTTTTAATGTCAGTATCAGTCACATTTCTTGCAAAAGAGGGAGCTGGGTTGTTTGTATTATTAGTATTATAACATTTCCTTGTTGAAGTTGCCTTGCTAAATTTGATATTATCAAAAAGTACAGCAGTTTTAAGATCCTCACTTGCTGGTACATGCCACTGTTGCAGTAGCTGTGTACATGTTAAGTCATCTGGGACTTCAGTTAGTTCAAGCTGAATAAAGTCCAGAATTTGGTAAAGTAATGCAGCTACATGCTTGCATAAACCACCCTGTCCTGCTACACAAGAACAACTTGCAGTTGACACATTTCCTGTATCCTGGTGAAAGTGGACATATACAGTATATTGCACCTTTTTCATTGAAGCATGTACATTGCATTTAACAAGAAAGAAACGTTCAGTTCCTTTTAAAATGTCTGGCTTAACTTGTAATTTGGTAACCATTTCTTATGCTTGTGTGCATTTGGTGGTTTTCCCTGTTTTCCCGAAGTATCAGTAATTAAATACTGTTTTAATAGCTCATGTGTGAAAGGAGGAATACTTCTGAGGTTCCTCGTCCATTCTCTGCATTGACCAGTAAATATATTATCTGTTTGCTCCATTACTTTGCAAAAAATGCACCAAAACGTGAAGTAAAAGGAATATAAACAGCAAACAGAAACAAACGAACAAATAGTTTCTTTTTTAATTCTTCACCGAACAGTGAACAGCAGCCAATAGTACTGTTTAACAGTTTAAATCTTTGATACTGAAAAAGCCGATACTTTGAATGGATAGTTTTCGCGCCAAACGTCCTCAATGTTTTGGTTTGTAATGGAACACTTGATCAAGCATGTGTTGTTTTAAGCCGGCTTGATGTGAAAACACTTTTGCCTCTGGAACTATTAACTAGGACTCGATCGCAGAACTGCCTATTGTAAGTGATGAACAAGTGTGTCTTACTTATTTTACACAAATTTTAGCGATGCACTTACCTTTAAAATGTGTGAAAAGTCTAAATTTGTGTTCGTTCATGTCCGATCGAAGCCATGTTCGCCTTCGCCCGGGCCGATCGTCATGTTAAATATCTCAAAATCAATGACTCTTAGAGATCCCATGTTAGACTACAGACTGAAACAAACCTCGCAGAATGTCGGAAAGCTTTTATTAAGAACTAAACGAAAATATTACTCGTGTAAATTTCATCTATTGACCACGCACGCATATGCAAAGTGAACAGCCGCCATCATGCAAATTCTGCCGTGATAACTAAACTACCATGATGCTTTGCGTTAGCGCAAGTTGTGAATTGTAGAGCAAGTTAATATACTGTACATATATAAGTGTGTTTTCGTTCATGAAATGTCAAATATACTACAGATTAGCTAACCTTTAAAGACAAAATATAAAAGGCTTTTAGCAGCTGTACAGGCCCTCTGGCAGGAATCCAACCAGCACCCTTGCTTTTGTATATATACATGAACGTGCGGTTAGAGCTCAACACCTGGACTTTGTAACTTAGTTAGAGCACTGGACCGGAATCGCAGAGCTGCAGTTCTGATTCCTACTAGAGGGCCTATACATGCATGTTAATTTAAATAGACAGATTTAGAGGATGCACTGCCAGAACAATTTGCCTCTTTCAAGGCATTTTTTAATACCATGGACTGGTGGGGCATTTGCCCCACTGGGCCCATTCCTTAGCCCCACCACTGAAGAAAAATGATGGCCTATTGCCCCAAAGTCAGGGCCCTATGACCATTGTGTAAATGAGTTTAATAATAATAACATTGAAAAGAAGTTTAAAAAACAAAATTTGTTGGTGAGCATACTTAAACTTATGTTGTGTGTGAATGTTTAGCATGCAATCTATTACAAGTTTCACCATTAAAACTTTGTTTTGAGAAGCTGAGATTTTTATGTGTTCTCAGATTTAAATGTGTTCTCAGAATGCAGAAAATGTTATTTCAGAGACCCATATTTAAAAAATTTCCTGGGGTACATGCCCCCAAACCCCCTAGTCAACTCGGGCCTGCGGCACTCTGCTCACACCTTCGGCGATCGCATACTGTCTTGGGGGGAGGACAGGGAAAATGGGCCCTTTGGCAGTTTTGCCCCACCACTGAAGAATCCTTAAAAAATGCACTGGCCTCTTTTGTTCATAGAGATGTGGATTCATTTGAGCCTAAAAGGCAAATATTGCAGTAACAATATCCGCAGTAATAAAGTGTACTTGTATTGAGTATTAATATTATATATGATTATATAGTGATTTGATGCAGGTTGATGGTAAAGTGTACAGTCATTTTTCTGGAAAAAGCAACCATCACTGAACAGGGCTTGGACTGCTTTATTGTCTCCTTCAAGAGTATGTGATTTGCAACTTGTCATGGAGAAAGTTTTTGGATATTCTACATGTATAAAAATAATAAATGTAATAGATGCTTTCTCTGCAGAGTAACTAATAAAAGATGATGTTTTGGGGCTTATTGCTGCTTAATGGAGGCATGGAGCTATAATATCATTCAACAATTGAATAAATTAAAAATTTAATAACAATTTTAATAATAATAAATTTCATAACAATGTTATTACAATAAATATATTTGTTATTATGTATTAATTAACAATATTAATCTCCAAATTTTACTCTATTCCTGTTCACATGTGCCTGGACTGTTTGTGTAGAAATTGTGTCAGAAATTATTAGAAATTGTTTTTACATACTAATTAGAATTAGATGCTGTACATTGTGAATGTTCTAACATGAACTAGTTTGAACAAGTAGCATTTGAATATAAACAAAGGAACACCGGTGTTCCCGGAAGTCCAACAACAAGCCATAGGTGGGTGGTGATCAGGTGATTCGTGTTTGAAATTACAAACATGATACTATGCAGACTGCAGTTTAGCCAGTTCCTGACTGACAAAATAAATTAACAGCAAAATTATGTACATCCATGTTGTCCAATATGTCCTTTGCCTGAACTTTATCATTCACAAATACCACTTTCACCAAGTTCTTCAAATATGACCTTGTTTAATTATATATTTTCTTGACAACTGTACCAGTATATGCCTGTACGGCACCATTTAAATTTTCTGTCACAGGTAAAACATTTCCTAAACATCAAAGAAAAATTATAAAATAAAAATTGTTGGCAAGTACAAGTACATAACACATCTATATTTTGATCTATAAATTCTTAACAACACAGTGCTCAAACCTCGCAAATATTCAAACGTTTCAGTTTAATAACACAGGCGGATACATGCATTTCAATAGAGCATTGATAAATATCATTACCATATTTACCATGTATTTAGTTAATATTCTACATTTAATACAGCAGAGTTTAATATCCCACGATATCGATAAATAAATTCTCACCTTCTATAAAAATATTCTCACCGATTTCTTGTTTTTTGTTAGCATCAATTCCGCCTTACTACATTGTTTTTTCAGTATGTTAATTTATGTACCACTGCTTCTATTCAATATTAAAACCACAAAATTTTAATCCAATTTGTCGCGATACTCTCTCCTCCGCAGAGGCTTTAGTTTTCTTAGGATTTTAAATATTACGATGAGAAACATTTCACTACACTTTACATGGCGGATCGTGGAACACGAGCGTAGCCGCTGGGGGAAGGAGCGCAGGCGGCAAAGGGAAAGGCGAAGGAAGGCGCGAAGCCTCAACCTCGTCCCCAGGGTCTTCCTCGTGGTGGCGCGTGAGCTGAGGAAGACCCTGGTAAAATACGATGAAATCTCCAAGATTCTTGGAGATTTATCGCATGCGCAGTAACGACAACGTTATGTTGCTGACTACAATTAGCGCTGGCGCTTACGATTTTCTTGCTTTAAAAATACACATGTTTTGTCGATTCTTTATGTATTTATTCTCAAAGTTTTAACAAATTTTACGAAAAATACTTCAGATATAAGCTGTGAACACACATGTACACAAAACTGTGCAACATTCGTCATCATATTGTATCAATTTGTCGGAGTATGCTGCTCATATTTGTGACATCGTTTTGTTCGCTTCTGCCAACCCTCGTATATATCAGATACTGTTCGGCCTCAAATGCGACTGAATGAACACTGATGGTGTTGCCTGGAATATGAAATGATATTGACTGATTGTTCTGTATATCAAGGTAGGTACTGTACATTTATACTGAATTTATTTTCACACGAGTTTCAAACTATTTCAGCCTTTAATATATAAATGAACAGTGAGATCACATCACTAACATACAGCCATACAGAAAGAATTTTCTCATCAATTCTGATTATTGTTTACAAGTAACAGTATAAATGCTTCAAAATTTATTTGTTTTCTACAGTATGAGTAATGCAGGGCAGCATGCTTTCATTTTGCTTTGGTGGTAGTCACCACTCACCAAGTCAAATGGGCCATTCCATCTATAAATAGCCCCACTATTGAGGTCTGGATATCCTATATGGGGATTTTAGAGAGGGGGATTTTACCTTAAATTTTTCTGGAGGGTAGCTTAAGAGATTTCAAAAAAATTATGTGTTTTAGTGATACCCAAAGGGACAGGAACAATATCCTAAAGGGGTAGAAAGATATCCATGGGGGTTCCAAAATTGCATCCAATGAGGTTCCAAAATGTGTAAGGTAATAGTATTATGAAGAGACCCCTCAATAGGGTGTGGGGGGCTATATTAAATGGAATTGCCCAGTGTGCTGCAACAACTTTTAAAATTTGTATATATGTTTTTAAGGCACGATATGTGATGGAGTTTGATATGATGATCAGCACAACCTGGATGTCTTGACTGAATGAACAACTTATGTGATATACTCCTAGTTCCAATACTTTGCTGTATATTATCACCAGCTCAGATGTCAGTTGGATCACTTTGAATGAACATTGGAGTGGCACAATAAAGTGTCTGTATTAGGGTGGAGTCTATAAAAGGCACACTTTTGGATATTAATTTGAATCATAGCAACTACATATACTGTAGGTTTCAAATAAGCTTGAACAATGAACAACTGAAAATAAAAATTTATTTGATTTGAAACACTCAAAGGAATTACAACATATGATATGATAGTCATATGTACATGATTATGGGTATATTCATTAGGTTTATTAGCTGATATTTATGACCATCCTGGGACAACATTTTATTTTTCCCAAGAGATTTTACTTGCATGGTAGTAATATAGTAACAGAGAAGTGTGATGGATATGTGCAAGTAATTATCATTAGAAATACAAATATTAAACTGTAATTTTCACCATTGTAAATGATTGTATTATTAAAGAAACAAAATACAAAAGTCAAACAAGGCTATTTAAAATAATACAGTCATAATACTAGACTGGGAAGAACTACTGAATAGAGGCATCATGAAAATATTCTAAGATTACTACCATGGCTCTGTACCAGGGAAAGGTATAGTAAGTTTCTTCACCTTGATGAACATTAGAAAACTATAATGCCATCAACTCATTCCCATTTAAAAATTTTCATGTTGGTCAATGTGAAATATAATCTTGAAGCCATCTAATTCTTAATGATTGTTTACTATCTGATTGATGACATGATTATATATTTCCATGGAATTCAAGTTGGCTTTTCCCAAGTTGATGTAAAATATGGTTCACCTGTTAAAATAATAAAATGTTTATTAGTTGTTTTGTAACAGAACAGTACTTGCTTTAATTAAAGAAAATATAGGAAAGAGAAAATGAAAATAACAGTTGTACTGTATATGGAAAAAAGAATAAAATCTTTCTAAGCAATTTCTACTGTTACCATAATTATCATACTGTTATCATAATTTGATTAAAAGTCTTTCTGTATGTGTGAAATGAAGTCTTGTATAATACATGTGTGAAACTGTGTTTAATTGAAAATGTGATTTCCGAGACTCTGGGAAAATGTGAAAGCAACGTGTAAAAATAAATCGAATAAATTCAGTTTAAATGTACAGTACCTACCTTGATATACTGAACAATCAGTCAATATCATTTCATATTCCAGGCAACACTATCAGTGTTCATTCAGTCGCATTTGAGGCCGAACAGCATCTGATATATACGAGGGTTGCCAAAGCGAACAAAACAATGTCACAAATTTGAGCGCCATACTCCGACAAATTGATACAATATGATGACGAATGTTGCACAGTTTTGTGTACATGTGTGTTCACAGCTTATATCTGAAGTATTTTTCGTAAAAGTTGTTAAAACTTTGAGAATAAATCCATAAACAATCAAGAAAACATGTATATTTTCAAGCAAGAAAATCGTAAGCGCCAGCGCTAATTGTAGTCAGCAACATAACGTTGTCGTTACTGCGCATGCGATAAATCTCCAAGAATCTTGGAGATTTCAGGTGAAGGCTATTTCAGATACGGTAGAGCACCTAGTCCCCAGGCCTTTACCAGCGCGACCGCGAAATTCAAGATGGCGCCAAGCTAAGGAGTGGAGTTTAAATGGAGTTTATATTCTATAATTTCTATTGTTGTTTTTTGATCTTTTTATTCTTTTTGGTTGGTAGAACTTATATTCTGAAATGCCAGGTATCTTATTCTTTATCTGATTAATCTGAAAAAAGATTTTATGACAGAATTTTTCTCAAACATAGTTATAAAAGACTAAAAGTAAAAAGTTAATGAATATTTAAATAATATCTATATGTTTCAGTGAATTATGCTCTAAAAGTAAAAAATAGATTGGCCAAGTTAAAAAATTTTTGACACATACCACACATAAAGTGAAACAGAAGACATACCATTGACTTTTGTTAATTATAGTTTCAACTTCAATTTTGAAAATTGTAATAACAGCCTAGTTTATATTCCATAATCCACAGAACTTGAACATCCATGCGGAAAGTACAAATTATTGACTTTTCGAGTGGAGTTCTGTTTGAATTTTTCAGGTACTAAGTTATCTTCTTACGTCTAGCCTGGCACAGACCGTTCAAGATTGCACTGTTTAATTAGCACCAACACTATTAAACAGTCATGGTGGCGGGATGGATCCAGCATGATCTGGTAGGGGGGTGGTGGTTTTGATCTGCCAGCTCTAATGCCAAGTTATGTTGGTCATGTACGCCACCTGCCCATCAACTTACAAGTCAAGCAGGGCCGTAGCTAACATGCATAG